TACTACTGAAAAATATTAAGATGCATCTTTTATTTTCATAAACATGGTGTTAAAACATCAAATGCATTACATAAAGTAAAGACTAAAGATTTAACACAAATTAACAATAATTTACTCAAATGTTAAAACTTTTGTTTGACTTGTTTTAAATTTTAGCAAAATCCAAAGTGTATGCAAAGCATCATAGCCATTGCAAATCGGTAAAATAACTAAAAACAACCCTAATATTGGTTCTAATCCACTGTTTTATCCAAGCAAAATCTCTGCTTGGTTAATATTCTGCTGAGTTTGACTGCATCCAACCTAAAATCGCGTTTTTATTCCAGCTGCGGAGCCAAACCTTGGGCAGTGGAGCTTTAATGGAAATCTAATGTAAAAACCACATGACCGTGAATTCAGTCTTCAATGTCATTCTCCCCTTCAATAACTGTGATTCAATTCCACCTCTCAAGCTGAGGAGCCTGAGGATAAATCCGGGCTTCCCCACCATCCAGCGACTAATCTCCCCTCGGAAAAGCAACTCTGCTGCTTGTCGTTCCTGCTGACCCTTCCTGCAGCTCAGTCTTACATTTAAGAGGAATAATAGACAGAGGATTGGGATGGATGGGGGGCTTCTCAGTCACCTGCCACCACTGCTACAGCTCATATTAACAAGGGGACTCGGGGCTCCGGGGGCTTTGCATATAAATGAGGTGTCTCGTTCCTGAGATGATATCAAACGCTGTGTGTGCCTGGATCTGGATCCGTGTGTGAGCATGTCCTAACCGGCATCCATGTCCACGGCAACATCTTTATTTTTGCAGTATTCCCCGTGCGTACGGAGCTGCAGACATCCTGCATATTGAGCAAGTTTTCAACGTTTCAATTCCTCCTGCCTTTTTAAACATCTGAAAATCACATTGTGGAAAATAACATCCCAGAGTCGGCAGCACTTGTATTTAGAGTGAAATGGTCGCTTTCCACATCATCTAACATGGAAACAGCCGAGCGCTTCCTGGACTCCCTGTGGGGTCACGATCTCAATATCAAACAAACTCTGTGTTTTGGTTTTTTCCTGTGTTTTTTAAAAGTTGAACAGGACAACCTTGAAACTGAACAGCAGCTCACTGGAGGGCCCATGCTGATATTCAGAACGGGTTCATTACATGCAGATCTTCACCAATTTACCTCGTCTCTCATCAGTGTTTCTGTGCTGAAAGGTGTTATTTTTGTACATTTGGCGACTGGTAACTAACCTGCGGGGACACTGTGGCGGTGGCAACAGCAGCAGCCATGCTATGATCTAATTCTGTGGCGAGCAATTACAGCAAACATTATTCATGGTGCAGAAGTGGAGTGAGCCCAGCTTTATGAGGGTGAACTCTGCAATTCGTGAGGAAAACGGGAAACAAAACATTGCTTGTGAAATATGTTGAGGCAGAGTTCTGCTGCTTCTCTACATTTAGAGATATTTTGCTCTTTTTGAGCATATGTGACATGCCGTACAAAACCAGGAACAAGTCACCTAAGCAGAAAAGGAGAGAAAAAAAAAATCAGCCTTCAATTTCCGAGAAAATAGTGACTTTTGGGGAATTTGCAAAATATACTAGTAGAAATCATGAAGAAACCATTCCATACTTTAAATAGCAAACATTGTGTTTGAATTCAACTTGTTGACAGAGTAAATCTGACTTTCAGGCATTTGAGTTTTCTGGGGAAGGAAAACTCACAGCTGATTAACATACCAGCTTTATTTGGCTACTTTCACACTTTTGATTTCGGCCGATAAGCTGCATGTTTGAAAGGAATAGATGGCTACTTGACATCGCAGCCACAACAACTTTGTAAATGCTATGAGAGAAGAAACGATAATTGTTCACTTGGGAGACTGTCATGCAGCCACAAACTTTCTCCAGAGTTTATGTACAGCATGCAAATGAAACCTAGCAGCAGAAAGACAGTGGCAGTCCTTATTTTTTAGATAACAATAAAGATAATAAAATAAATAAAAAATGAACCAGAACCATTTGCATGATCAGAAGCATCATAATGTACAGGAAACATTTTAGTTTCTCCTATTACAATGTAGAATGACCATATTGATTAGTTAACATAGTATCCTAAAGCAATGCAATTTATTATTTGACTCAAAAAAAGTTTAATTACCCAAAATGTAAAAATAATCAACTAGGTATCTGTCTGTTGATAACTATGTGAAAGTCAGTATTCGTGGCCCTCCAGCTCTAACCACAGCCTGTTTTCTTATTCATAATCTTTGAATATGCTTAAATATTTTACAGGTTTCCTGTAGAAAAAAGTCAGATACATGAATTAGTACCTTCACTTTGGTACATGGTACAGAGTGATTACAGCCACGAGTTACACACTAACCCTTCAACCTGAAAATCTGCTGAATGCATGAAATATTTCACACTCTGGGGCCACATGTACATACATATTTCTTTAATTTAATGTGCTCCACTGGGAAGCCAGCAAACACACATGTAACAAAGAAGGAAATATATACTGGCAGTGGCTAAAAGGAAACTGATTACTATAAGGTCTGAACCCCCACCATTATTGAGGCTAATAATAAAAAAATGGCCATGAATCACACACACACACACACTGTTATAATGAGGCACCCAATCTGTGCCCCGCCCTCATGTCAGGTCCCAGAGGATGTCTGGCCCCCCGGACGTTCCTCGGCTCCTTCATCCATCCACCTCGTCCGCCTCGCAAAGTAATGGAGACTAATCAACTGTCAGGATGAGCACACAACACACTACATCTCCCTGCTTCCTGTGGCAACCCCATCCCCACAACAAACCTCCACCCAACCCCCACCCACCACCACTTCAGCTGTAACTCTTGGGGCCAGAAATAACTGAGCTACGGCTAAATATACCAGTCAGGCTCCTCCTCCACCTGGTGCATTTATTTCCCATTAACTTACCTCAGCCTTTGTGACCTCCATTATATGTTTAACCCTAATCTCACTCTAATACCATGCCTAAACCTATATTAACCCAGACCTTACTCCAGCAGGCTTTCTGTCTTCCGTAATAAAGGATAATCAGAAAGGGGCAGGAGAATGGCATGTTTATCAATCCATCCATCTTCTATACCAGCCTAATCCTATTCATGGACCTTGGGGGCTGAACTCTATCTGAGCAGTCAGCGAGTGAAAAGTGGGGTACAGACTGTACAGGTCGTCAGTCAATCACACAGCTCACATAAAGGCAAAAGCTCACCAAAGGCTCCCATAAACTCAGGTGTTTTGGGTATAATACGTGACTCCACATTTGAGATTTCATATTTGAGCGCACGACTCCCGACATTTCTTGTGACAAATTCCTTCATTTCCCACAATCCTAACGGATGCTAGCGGATAATGGCAGTCAAGCCAATGCTTGTAACTGGTTATGCCAACTCTCAACCTTATCAACTTGGTGTCGCTTGCTTACAAAATGGTTAGATATGAACGCTGGTTCCAGTCAAGAAGTTTACTGTCCAACACAGAGTGCACGGTTGTCGGACAGTCCGAATAAGTTCAGCTTAAAGAAATATGCCTTGTATTTAATAGTACAGAGGGGAACTGAGTGTATTTTCAACTTGCAACTAAAAGGATCCAAGAGTTGACTTCATTTCAGCACACTATGACCCTTAAAAACAATAAAATATTAATTTAAATGGAGAATTCTGGAAAAATCCAAATCCATCAAATACAAATTATGTGGTACCCTTGAAAATTTGTTGTTTTCAAACTATTTCCTGGAGTTTCCATTTGGAGTTTTTTGTTTGAAAGAAACGTCTAGGTGATTACCATATTTTCCGGATTATAAGTCACTCGGGAGTATAAGTCACACCGCCCATAAAATGCATAATAAAGATGAAAAATACAAATATATTTGAAGCCATGTTTGTTTGTTCTCTGTTTTCACTTCTTTAGTTTGTCGTCACAATCAAATCTTTAGATAATTTTGACCCAAAAACAGTTGTTTTTTTCTTCCCCTGAAACAATTCAGCCTTACAAATAACTTAATCCACAATGTTGAGCGAATTCTTCACAAGCACCCAGGAGTGCTCCTTTAGAATCAATACCAATTCGCCATGTCAGAAAAAATGGCCACCTTCCATCTTACAAACACCTCTGATTGGAGAGAGAAAGAAGCACAGAAGGCTCGTCGGGCTCCTTTTCTTTGTAACTAGTCGGATACTTTTGTGAAGGGAGGTGTCACACATCCATGTTTTGAAAGGAAGCTTTCAGAATATCTTTAGCTGCTTAATAAAATCAACCACTAATCACTATTTTTTCAAGATAAAACTTTTGACCTTGAACAACACACATTCAAACAATTAGGCGATGTCCATTTAGTTTGTTTGCATCCCCTGCCATAGCAGGCTAGACTCTGGTACGCATTAAATACGGCCGCCAGCTGGATGTTTGACACAAACTGGTCTGGAAAGTTCTATATCATTAGCACAAATCATGACTGACTAACTGTCAGGAGTGAAATTATAATAGATGCTGCCATACAGGCAACAAGCACTAATTAACACTCTGTTATTATGAGAAAATTGTGATGAAAATTATAGCCAGCGTGCTCTTACTCCATGAGACACAGATCTCTTCAGTCCTTAATGTTTTTTTTTTCTGCTGGGAATGTGTCATAGTGGCATTTTCACAGGTCAAATTAATCATACTGGATGTGGCTTTAGTTGAATAAGTCCAAACATTGCATAAAGTGAAGATATTGCCCAGCAGAGTTACCATTCTCACTCTGTTGCCCTATTGTGAGGTAACATGAATCAGCAAAACCCTCAAAAGAGCAGCCACTCACATTTTTACCACCTGCCAGAGTAAAATGATAATAATGTATCTGCTTTATGAGGCTGTAAGGATAACAGATCGATAACAGTGGAAGCTCTGGAGAGTTCATTTTCTCTCTGTGGACATTAGGGGAAGATATGTGGAAATTATCTGCAGGGAGTCGATAAAAGTAAATTGTAGAGCTTACCGTCTTTGCCAATCAGGAAGTCCAGGTACCGGTATGTATAGGCCACGCCCACCTTGGTCTCCACTTGTGGTCTCTTGAGAGTGGAGTAAATCTTTCCCGGACTGTTCTCATCTGACGCCGGTTTCATCTTTCGCAGTCCGCAGCCCATGGCTCCACAGTTTGTCAGTCCTATGCAGATCCTGCTGAACACAAGAACAAAAAACAGAAGCTGTTCATCAAAAATCTGCATCAAACACTTATTTTTTTCTCCCCCATTTGGGAGTCTTCATAACTCCATCTCACCCCATCCCTAAAATCTTTCTCTGTCACAACAACCCTCAACATGTCCACTTTCTTTACGTATCTTGCAAAAGTATTGGCACTCTGATCATTTCCTCATTTTCTCTCATTACAGTTTCAAATTTCAGTGTTTCTTTGGGACTTCATGTGGCAGACAAACATCGCAACGTGTATAATTATGGTATTAATAGAAAAGCATGTAGTATGTTTGGAAAGGTATTTGTAAAATTTGTTAAAGTGTGACATGCATTTGTGTTCAGCCACTCCAAATCAAAAATTTGCAAATGTAGAAGCTAAGGTTTTTTTCTCATTGCTCTTTGCAAGTGAATTTATAGTTCCACAGATTATAAATTGGATTTAAGTCTTTACTTGGAGTTACCTACATTGTGGCACATGAATATGCTTTGATTCCATTGTAGCTCAGTATGTTTAGAATCACCAGATGTTGAGATGAAAACTTTTCTGACAAGTTTTTATCTCAAATTGCCATCTGTTTAGTTCAGTCTGACTTCCGATAAACTTTGATACACTTTCCTGTAACCCGATAAAAAAAAGAAAAAAAGAAGAAGCTTGCCAATGGCGTTGCAGATATTTTGCCACCATGTTTCATCATGATGTTAGTGGCGCTTGCCGTAAATGACAAAACAATAAATTATGCTCTATAACACAAAATCCTGAAGGGGAATCTCCAGCTATCGACACCTTGAACTTGGGTTTTGCAAGAGGAACAGTGATCAAAATTACACCAGCAAATCAGACTCTGAACGACTATGAAGGAAAAAAAGTAACAGTTTTGAAAAGTCTTTTCTATGTACCTTCAACATTTCACATTTGTTCATCAAACCTTGTGTGTGGTTGAATTTAAAAGGTTTTGTAAAAGAAAAATGTAAAATGATGGAGTAAAGAAAAGAGAAAGGCGACTCAACAACCTGAACATTTGAAGGTCAACGAAAACACATTTACACTATCTCACAGAATCAGTTCAGTTCTACTGAATTTCTGGTAGAGAACAGGAAAATACATCTATTGGAAAGTAAGAATAACAATCCTGATGATAGAGACAATTGATTTGCGTGTTGGATGCAGGACCGGATTAAAAATCCTTGTGTTTGTAGTTCTGGATCTCTCAATCGCTGTGAAACTTGCAAAGGGAGGCAGACTTGAAGAATAGCTTGGCCCAGCAGCATCAGGAGAAACTATGTCGGTAAAGAAGTGAAAAAGGGAAGTTCTACTTCATTAATAAACATGTAATTTCCATGTAGTGTTTTTCAATTGAAACACTGAGTGTCTTAAAATCTAGACTAAAAACCCACCTGTTTAGAGTTGCCTTTTAAATGTAATCAATAAAAAATTAATCAACTCTCTGATGTTGATTGTTGAACGATGGCACTTGACAAAATGTAATGTTTCAGTTGTTTAAGATGCAAAATACTTTGAAATGCTTTATTGCTGAAAAGTACAATATAAATAAAATTTGATTGCTTGACATTTAGAAGCAAACTGAGATGGTTCAATGTTTTTAGTTTGTTTCAAGACAACAAACACTGTGAAAACTTTGCAGGCACAAAAATAATAAAAAAGTTCCACCTTAGAAGAAACATTAACGATAAGAAAAACTAATATCACTGGAGGTATGACTATGTTAAACTGATTTGTTCCAGCACATACACTTGTTGAATTACTGTTGATGGCTTGGGTAAATTGAGAAGGGGAGGGGTACTGAATCATGCATGCTTTAGGCTCAGCATCCGATTGTGTTCGTCTGATTAAACTCCAGACAGAATGGACGGACGGATGGCTGTAGTGCCCTCTGCTTCCACCTCAGCTGATGAGACACCCTCTCTGCTTCTTTATTATGTTCCCATCTAATTATGGAATGTTGCTGGGCCTCTGCAGGATCCAAGTCGGCTGTCGCTTTGGAGCCGACAGGACAGGAAGTAAACCGGGGGGGTAGGGATGTAGGAAGAAGTGGGTGGCGAAAAAGGAAATGAGCAGACGGGGGCTCCGTTAATGAGGTGAACAGCGAGAATGGAAAAGGTTGGAATCAATCAAGGGAGAGAGAGGAAGTGTTGGGTGGCCGGGATGGAGACTGTTCATCTAAAAAGATGGGGGGAGGCAGAGGAGGAGAGCGGGCAGCAGGTAATGCATGGCAAGCAGAGTCCAGAGAGAGAAAGAGCAAGCAATTAGAGTGCAGTGAATAGGAAAAGAGGTGATCAGCATATGACAAGAGTGCCGGGAGCAGCAAAAGGAGTGAGAGATGAAGCAAAAGATTCATTACAGTTGTCATGAAAAGCACTGTTTCCTGTGGCTTGAACATGAATGTCTTTGTTGAGCTTTATGAATCACACTCTTATCACTACAAGTTCCAGAAATGGATTGAACACTGTTTGGTTTGTAATTAAAACCGGTGGACATGTATCCACCCGACCCTTAGTCTGTGAGCAAAGCTGCAGAGGTGCTAAACAGCAGCTGTGTTTCCATTACAAACGTGAGCAAAAAATGTTTCAATTCCACTAATTTTGAAAACAAAAAACAAAACGCAATTTCACAATTGTGGTGTTTCCACAGTAAACAAAAAATGCAATAGAAAGAAGTTTGTTCACATGATAAGTCATTCAAAAAAGCTGCAGCATCATTCTCCTGCCATTTCTTGTTATCTTTTTTACCTTTTCTGCCACTAGTAGCGTCTGGTTGCTGATCACAATTTGTATGATGCAAAAATGTATTTCCATTGCAGATCTGGAAACACACTGACTTTGATACAGGCGAAAATCAACTTCATCCTGCAACTTCAAACCTTTCATCAAAAAATATGTTTTGTTTTTTTTTTTCAAAATTTGTGTTTCTATTAAGCAAATTTACTTTTGTAATTTTGCAAATATAAAAGGCCCCCAGTTTCAAACATGGGATGCATCTCTTTCTGCTTTTTTATTAAAGCCAGGGCCTCAAAATTTCTAATATCCTGCATGTAATTGTCCCTGCAGTTTAAAATGTTTCTAATGAGATACCAAACACAACAGGAAGGGGTTCTCTGATTATGTTAAACATAGATAAACACGCCACTTCTCCCCTTCCTGTAATTTCAGGGGATACCAAAGAAAGGCAATACCACCAAATTCATTTGTTTAAAAAGAAAAAGGTTTTAGGCTTTGTTTAGAAACAAAGAGTTATTCTTTCTGTTGGTACTCTGACATGTAGGAAGCTCATTTCTGCAGCCGGGTAACTAGCAAACCTCAAACTGACCAACATATCACAAAGAACAGAACTACAGAAAACCCAGAATCAAATTATAAAATTTTAAAAGTCTTGGTAAAAGGTAAACCGTTTCTGGGTTACAGTGTTACCAGTGAAAGTACCACAGTGACCACAGTTTTCTGGTTCTCACAGCAATGGCTGAAGGTTTTATCTTCAACTTTTAAGTCAGAAAGGAAGATAAATTTGAAATCTTTCTGCTAATTTGAAACCTATGTGGTGACAGCTTTTATATCAGGGAACTACTGCCAACTACTTCAGTCAGAGAAAGCATTGAATTGACCACCATATTCAAACACTGCCTTCCTTCCACCACCTGCTGCTTGAACTGATAGCAGTTTTGCTAGGAGAGGGAAGAACGGTATTCTTAACATTTACATTTCAAAGACCACCGGCTGTTTGGAAATGCTTCTAATCAAGAAAAAGTTTAAGAAAAAATGTTACTTGGTAAATTAAATACCTAAAGCACACTTTCTCCTAAGCAGTGTAGCTGACTGACTCGCTAAAATCTACCATTCAGCCTTTCATGTTTGAAAAGTGCAGAAAAAGCAGAAATATTTTTGCTTTGTGATGAGCATTAACTCGTTTCCAGTTTTCCGAAACAATCCCTGTTGCCTCATTCTATTGCTCTAAATTACAAATTGGAGATAATCGCAGTGACCAGAATTTGTTTCCACTCCCCCACCTGCCGCTTTGTGACCACAGCAAAAGGAATGAAGTGAAAAAGATTTCCTAAAAATATTTTCCATTAAAAAAAAAAAAGATAGCCGGATGGTTTTAAGTCATGTTTAGGAGAAACATATAATCATGTCTTGGATACGAGAGGAATCCTCCTATCAATCACCACCAACCTGAAGCTACATGCTGTCAGCCAACTGGCTAAAGGAAGGAAATTTCTTTAAAACTTTTCAGTTGAAAGAAAATTGGCTGTTTGGACATATTTCTAATATGGAAAAATCCCTATATTTATAGCAAATGGGTTCCACCAATCACTCTTTCAGATAACTATTTTAGGAACATTTCAAGAACAGGCAAAGAGAGTTAGCATGGCTGCCAACAAAATAAATCAGCCTGCGCCAAGCTTGATCCACAGGCAGGTAACCATCTAATATCCGCCTTTCAGGCTTCCAACTCTACTTTACAGAGAGCAGAACTGCTCTGACCATATATTTTAACCATTTCAGGAAAAGGTTTTTCAGAATTAGGATTTCTTTTACAGTGTCCTAACTAGCAAAGATGCTATTGTTTGAGATCGACTTGCAAAACTTTTTGTGCGGCTCAGGAGACAACATCAGTTTAATATTTAGAGCAAAGTATAATTTAAAGGAGTTAGCACAGTTAAAATCATTATGCTGCATTCTGATTGTACTCAGAACGGGAAATTTCCAAATTCTCAGTCGCAAAATTCAACTGGAATGCCCTCCGAAGTCGGATTTCCCACTAAGGAACTGGGAGTAACCCTATCTATCTCCAGTTTAAGGCTGACGTTGCATTTCAACAAGACCTCTCCTTGCATAAACAGTAGTAAGATGTGGTGGAAACATGATTATTTTAAAAGACACACATGTAAGAGTGCATCTAAAATCAATATTACATGTAGCGCCTTCAACTATAAACTGAACAAATCAAAAGAGGCATTTGCTTATGGAAA